GACCCTAGCTGCAGGGGGAGCAGGCTCTGAGCTGTGCGCCTTCTCCCGCCTTCGGGTGATTACAGGTAAAGGCCTGAGTAGAAGCCAGAAAACCAGCCAAGCTTCTCCTGTGATCCCCACACCTCTGGTAGGTTGGCTCTTCTGCCCTGAGCCCTGTGCCCCAAAACTACCTGAGCTGGAGGGGTCCCCATTCCCAACAGAGAACAGGAGCCTACTTCAGGAGGGGCTGGGAGGGTCTGTCCACCTTTCCTTTGGGGCAGCATCCAAGAAACCAAAGTCCCCAAGGCCACCACATGGGGATTCTGCTAGCCTCTCAAGTGGACACAGGGTAGGAAGAACATCAGACACGAATACCACTGTTTGGCCAGAAGTTTTTCTTTCTTTTTTTAAATGCTCAGAAGCCACAGAAATACTTGAGCAATGGAGAGACCATAGGTATAATTACAAAAGAGACGCCAGCCCCCTCTGGCTATGAAGATGTAGAAAAACAATATTTCAGAAAGTGGGAAAAACAGACCTCGAGACTCTTGTTAGTGAAACATGAAGGCCTAAGGCCAGAAAAATCTCAGACTCCAAGCTGAGGCTGACAGACCTCATGCTTTCACTGTGACAACCTGACCCCGTGGCCATAGCGGGGACCCCTGAGAAATAAGAGCCCCGGCTCCCCCAGCATTCCTGGTCTTTTGTCCTCTAATTGGGGAACTGTACAGGTGATGAAACATCACTTTTCTCTGTTTTGCCCGTGGGGGAAACAATCGTAGTCCAGCTTTTTGCAAAAACCATCGTCACCGAAAGCACGACCTTTTTAACAGCATGGGAGACTGTTTTACTTCTCTGACCTGCTTTCTTCTTCCGTCCTTGAGGACCTCGTTCTCATACTCCCCGGGATTTTTATTCATATATTCAATTCCTCCGTTTAATAAACGGAGACCATGCTAGATGCTGGGGCTACAAGGGTGAGCAAAGGAAATAGCATGTGTCTCCATGGAGCTCATAGTACAGAGAGGGAGGGAGACAGGCTACCACACACACACACACACACACACACACACACACACAGCAAAATCGTCACCAGAGTGAGTAAAGGAGAGACACGGAAAGTGGTGGCTTGGGACCCGACCCTACGCCTTCTCAGCGAGGAGTGGCACAGCCTGCGCTCCCGTGGCCCACTTCCTCCCACTCAGGCTGTGGAAGCGTGGCAGCCTGAACCCAGGTCCCGCCCGGCTTTGACAGTCCTGGGCTCTGAAAGAGCCCCGTAGCCTTCATACCCCAGAACTCAGGGAGCGCTTGGGCACCAAGTGCTCCTACTGACCGAGACGAGCTCGGACTTCAGCCCTAAAAACGAACGCTGGTCCCTGGAAGCCCTGGTGAGAGAGGTGGCCGCTCAGGCCACAGAAGCGCTCCGCAGGGGCAGGCGACGGATCTCAACTCAGGTTTTCCTTTTTTGTTTCCAACGAAGTAAACCACTCTTTGAAGCCCCTCCCGTGCGTGTCCTGACCCCAAAGGAAGTGGCTCAAACCGGACAGATGTGACTGAAGATTTCTTTTATTTAGTTTATAAGCAAAGTGAGGCTCCAGTAGAATCACCATGACGACTGGCCCACAACCGCAGCTAGGTAAGGACAGCGGTCGCCAGAGCGGCCACAGCAGGCCACGCCTGAGCAAGGCCAGTCGGAAAACACTGGAGGGGGGCAGAGTCTCTGTCAGGGGGCCCTGGAGACCACTTGCATTTCATTTGTGAGCCAATAAATTTCTAACCGCTGTTGAATGAACTCCAAAGTATGACTAACTTCTCCCAGGACGTCACTGGAAAAGTATTTCTGGAGCAGTTTCTTTTTAAAGTACAATATTCTGATTTACCCCCGAATTGGTATTAGGGGCTGTCTTACCCAATGCAAGGGAGGCAGGCTAGACCGCGCCTCTCAGATTCTCTCGGGGAAAGGCTGTCCTGTAGGGAGTCTGCCACCAGACTGAACACATGCTGCTTTTGATCAACAAGGAACCGAAGTTCGAAAACTTGAATGAAATCTTCATTCATATCAGGGAACACAAATCAAGAGCGAGGCATCAGCCTCTGGGCGGGGAAGCGATGTTCCATTGTCATTAACACCCGAATTACCAGAGCACTCAGCTCCCACTGCACACCTACCTCCTCTCTCCCCACGTGGCCGCTCTCCTGCCATTTCAGGGGGTGCCCAGGGTCTCCCCATGCCGCCTCTGCTACCCTCGTTAAAACCCTGCTCTCCTGGTCTCTCCTGGTAGGGTGCTGGCCAGTCTCGGTGCTCAGGATACTCAGGTGGCCCTTTGGCCCGAGCAGAGCTGCGACCGGGAGTTTGGTCCTGGCTCAATCCTGCGCACACTCTGCACGTGTAGGTCCGGGCTGTCAGGAAGCCCTTCGTGAGCACAGGTCTGCAGCATCCGCCCTCAAGAACCCCTCTCTCCGTAGGCAGGGAACTGGGAACTCACAGCCAGTCAGCAGCCTGATGGGACAGGGAGGGAGTGTGGACCTCGACCCAGTCCTACGTCTTCCGAGTGTCCACACAGCCAGTCCCCCTTCCTCCCAGAATCTCAGGTCAAATGTCACAGATGCTGTCTTATCCCACAGCCACAAAACACGCCCAACCCCTCGCCTTGGGCCATGTACTGAACCTACACAGAGGAGCCACCAGCCCACGGGCTCCGGCATAGCCTGGGCTGGGTCGGGATCTCCTGCAACCCCAGGCCAGAGAACAGACAACCATCTTCCCGGACACACAAAGCCTTTTCCAGGTGCTTCTGGAAATGACTTCTCTGGCTTGTTCCGCTTCCGTGATCCTGGGCCTTGTTTCTTCCCTTGCCTACAAAGACCTTTTCAATCTATGGCCACTCATTTCACTCTCCAGCAAGATTAGTTGCACACTATTTCTCGTGACAGGGAGAAAAAACCGAACCTTGTAAACATGGAAGACTATGCTGCTAAAAATGGGACGCTTCCAGAAAACAGAGGGCAGAACCCTGAGCCTGCTATTTCACGTACAAGTAGACGGCCATGGGACAAGGCCCGCCCCCTCCTCTCTGAGCTGTTCGTAAGGCCCTGGCTCTCGTCTGGAGAGCTGGCGTGGCTTCCAGGGTCAGGGTTGGTAGAATTGTTTGCAGAATTGTTTGCAGCCGGCCCAGAGTTTGGGAACAGCTGAAAGCAATGGAGGCCTCTAGCTGGGCGCCTCCCACCACCGGCCCAGGGAGGAGAGCGTTTTCCGTGGGGCTCTGCTGCCCTCAAGCGGTGGCTGCTCCGCGGTGCTGCGGCCTCCGCCCGAGACTCTCTCCCCACTGAGCTTTCCCCTGCACCTGTTTGCTCCCACAGCGGGCTCGCTCCATCCAACCCCAATTCCCCTGTCTCCTCCAAAGCCAGCTGTCAGGAGCAGCTGCTCCATCTCAGAGCAAACACGCTCTCTTGCTCGTGTGGGGACTCAGCCCGTCTGGGTTTTCGTCCACTCCACGTGCTCTGGGGAGGCCGGGGGGTGAGGTGGGGGGCGGGCAGAGCCCGGATGCCAGGAACCTGCAGTCAGAGGCTTTGGTTTCAAGTTCGTCCTGCCACTCACTAGCTGGAGGTCTTGGGTACATTACTGCAGCCCTTTGAACTTGAATTCCCTTACTTTGACTTTTTAAAACATTACTGATCGTATTTTTTAGAAGAGGTTTGCGGAGGATGCTCCCTGATCCCCACTCCCGATTCCTTCCCTGGTGACATTCCTCAGAGACACCCCATCGCAGATGGGTGACCTGTGTGCTGTGGAAGTTGGGGGGTAGCAACTGGGCGAATCTACTGTCCTTCCTCTTTCTTTTTTAATCGTTTGCGTGCAGCTCACAAAGAGCATGTGACCTCTTCTGAAACTCGTGGGAACTGCCAAGCACTAGCTGGGTGGTGGGGCAGGGAGGGACCTGCTTGGGTGCGGCTCCGTCAGCATGGGGTGAAGCCCACGTGTCCACAGCACCAGCACGCACGGCCGTCTCACGCGGGGACTCAGTTTACGATAAACATGACGCTTGGTTCTCGGCCTGCCGAGTCCTCTCATTTCTCGGTGGGTTCAGAATTCAGATGGGGAAAGGCAGCACCGGGTATCAGTCCCCGAAGATGCCGGACAGGCCAGGGAGGGACGTTCGAAGTTGCAGGAGGATTTCAAGGGAAAGCCGACGTCCTTGCACCCCGCCCCTGAGCCCCTGCGTTCTCAAGAGGTTACAGGCGGTCACTGAGACCAGTTCACAGTGTTTCCTTCGGGAGGCATGCTAACCGTACAGAAATACGAGTGCGCACGCGCACACACACAGGCATTTTCTACTTGAATAAAGAATACGCAGCCCTGGCTGGTGTGGCTGAGAGGACTGAGCGCTGGCCTGCCGACTGAAAGGTTGCCGGTTCGATTCCCAGTCAGGACACATGCCCAGGTTCCCCAGTTTGGGGTGTGCAAGAGGCAACCGATCGATGTTTCTCACCCTCTTTCTCCCTCCCCCCTCTCTAAAAATAAATAAATAAATAAATAAATAAAATATATATAAAGAATATGCAGAATCCCGTTCCATGGTGTGCCCCTTTCATTCAACAATCCCACTTGGAGAAGTCTTTTTTCTCACAACCGAAGCAAAGAGCTGCTTCCTCTGCTTTAATGGCTACCTCGTACTCCGTCGGCAAGTCCCTCCTCGACAGACACTGAGGGTCTCCTGAGTCTGCCGCCATCTCAGGGAGTCGAGTGTGATGGGTAAAAGCACCGGCTCGAGGGCCAGCTGACCTGGTTCAACTCCCAGGCAAGTGACTTTGCCCTGTCTGTGCCTCCATTTCTGGATTTGAATGACAAGAATAATACCTGTAACCTGGTTTTGTGAGGACTCCACGAACACACGCCAAACACTGAGATACTACTGAGAGTGTCCCAAACCTCCCTAGGTTTTAGCCGATTTGCTGTAATGAGAATCCCATGGTGCCGAGGGGGGAGGACTGTTCCTCTACCCTTCGACAGGAGACAGATGAACGGAAAAAGTCAAATTTAATTTTGTGCGCACGGGAACCCCACATGCATGAGAGAGGCACGGGCCCCGCACACCTGAGAGGTTCGGAGGCAGAAAGGGGAAACCAGGAATTGGAGACACCCGGACAAAGGAGCGAGGTAGGGAGCCTGAGGGTGTCAGGGGAAGGCATCGTCCGTAGGGCGGTAGGAAGAACAGACCTGCAGTAACTGGATGTTTGCCCTGCCACAGAAATAGGTCATAAAAAGTTATTTCTGGTGACAACTCTCCTTGTGAGCACGGGCTTTCCTTTAACTTCTCCAAGGGAGAGGTGAATGCAGGGTCTCAGTTACCTTCAGCTCGAACTAATCCCCGTGCCAAGGAGTGCACCCCAGGGCCATCGGCTCTGAACCCTCACAGATGACTTGCCACGTGTTTCAGTCGGATACGTTCTTCGAAGAGGACTTGCAGATGGTGTTAGCAGTCGCCACGTTGCCTCCATGGTAGTTCTGCCCAGCTTCTCCCTGACCCAGAACGTGCGTGTGCCTTGGCTCCCCACAATCTTGCCCCGTTTGTCAGCAAACACGGTGAATTTTGCTGATCTCATTGATGGAAACTATCTAAGTGTATTTCCCATCACTCTTTCTCTTATGATGAAATGATTAGTTGAGCATCTCTTCATATATGTAAAGCCATTTATATTTCCTTTCCTGTGTAACCCCAAACCTTCTCCTTTGTCCCCCTCCTTTTTTAACTGAGTCCTCGAAGTGCTCCTACTACACTAAGAAAATCAGCCTTTGTCAATGAGATGCTTTGCAAATATTTGCTAAGCTTTTCCTTTGTCTCCTTTGCCTATGAAAGGCATTTCCTAGGTCAAGTTAATCAATCTTTTTTGGTTTCTGGGCTTTGTGTCATATAGTCAAAAGGCATGCTTCATTCTGAAATTATTTTTTAAATTATTTTGTATTACCTTCTAGTACTTGAATGATTTTTTTACAGTTAAAATTTTGACACAGCTGGAGTTTATTTTTGTGTAAGGAGGGAATGAGAAATAGGTCCAATTATATTTTCATCTACATGGCTACCGGCTTGTCTCATACCGTTCACTATATAAACCATTTCCCCCAAATATTTGGGTGCAATTTCATCACATCTGAATTTTGCTACACATTTTGGTCTATTTCTGGTCTTTTTATTCTATGCCATTGACTTGTTTATTCATGTACTATTAACATATCACTTTAATTTGTCTCCCTATGCTTAATAAAAATAGGACTTCCAATGAACTGTTGGGGCCAGGCTTCCCATATTACTTTCACCTGTTTACTTATTTTTATAAACTTTTCTGGATTTGCTTTTTTGGGTTATTTTTAACAGAGTAACTTTAGAGTCATCTTGCTGAGTGAAAAACAATCTTGTTGGTATTTTCACTGGGACCATCTGTGGAATTATCCATTGGGCCTCGGGGGGATTAATAGATTAGTCTCTGGTTCCCAGCAAACATTGCTCTGCAAACCTCAGGCTCCTGGAAGGAGATGAACGTCCGCATCTGAACAGTGCTGCACACCGCAGGGACCTCCTGAGTGTGGAACTCTGGGATATGCAGAGGGCACGTGTATGTTCCATCTCATTTATTCTCACCCTAAGAGGTGTTTTCAGGTCTAAATAAATGTAGCCTGGGGGTGGTAGAGGCTGAGACCTGTGCCTGGATTAGCCCTGAACTTAAGGACCATCACCTCTGCTAGTCCCTTCTGGCTGGGGACGAGCTCCGCAGGTTTGGCCCCAGTATTTGGAGGTAACAGGGAGATATGATGAAGAAGGAGCCAACATTGCCCGGGGTTTGATTTTATTTGTAATTCTTGCTAGACTGTTCATTTGGTTGCCTCCTCCCAGGTGGGCCCATGACACTGAGTGAACACTCTTGGTCCGTGGAGTCTGTGCCGTGTACTTTGGGAGGGAACGAAGGGAGGCAGACTTGGCCTTGAGGGGGCTCACAGTGCTGTCAGTACAAGTGGGAAGGCCAGCAATCTTTTCTTGAGCCAAGCAAAAGCCTGGCCTGGAACACAAAACTGCAGGCTGGGATGGCCAAATCGCACCCAAACAGCTCCATCTGCAGTTTCACCCAGACTATGGTTCCAAATTCCTAAGAAGGGAAAGTGATGTACGAAGATGACGCTGATGAGAGAGGAACAGGATCCAAGCCTTACTGGAAATTCAGGGTGAGCTCGTCACACGATCTGAGCGTAGACAACAGTATCTGTGTTTGCTGGATAGTTTGCTCTGCACTGGTCTGTCGTTTCTTCCGAAATTTTGAAATCCATGCCAGCAGAGGTGAGTGCCTTGTCTGGGGTGGATGGAAACTACAGAGAAAGGGAGAGGACGATGAGCTAATTCACCTCGTCTCTTTGCAAGCGAGAGCCTCTTTAGAAACAACTTGAAAGCTTTGGTCAGAGAAGACCCAAAGAGAGCAGAAGAAGCCCGCAAAAAAGCACTTGCCCAGCGACCACAGAGCAATTCCTAGTCTAGCGGGTAAGGCATAGCACAGAGGGAAATTCCAATGGCAGCGGGTTTTCGTGGTCACAGAAACAGCACAGTCATCTTACCTCGGCCAGAGAATCTGAGTGAGGATCCAGCGCCTGGCGACTTGAGTGACCTGCCAAAGTGCCAAGAAGAAAAGGGACAAATCTCACTGGTGGGGTCTGGAGGAATGGGAAGCCTCTCCTTTCAGTCTTGGGTGCATGGGTGGGCTGGGAGGAGATGTTGGTGGGAAAGGTGGAGGGTCAGGAAGGCAGGTGAGAGGAAATGGAGGGACTCCAACCTGCGGTGTGCAGAGAAGGTGAGCTGAGCAGGTTTTACCCCCTCCTTTCTGTTTTCCACTCCAGGCCACCTCCATTCTCAATGGCAGAGAAAGAAGCGCTGCCCCATCTCCCGGAAGCCACTTACATTTCCTGTAGCACTTTATGATAAGGAGGACAATCGTCATCAACAGTAGTGCCAGTAGAATCCCACCAAGAAAGGCTAAGACCAGTTGGAGTTCTTTTCTGTTGTGGCAAAGAAAGGGAGCAGATGACTTTCTGGGCTCCTTGAAGACCGTTTCTAAAGACCCCAGTGTAACATTTCCCTTTTATGGGCAAACCCCTGAAATAGCTTTCACACTTGCCACTGGTTTTCAACTTTTTGGTTTCAGGTTTCAGATCCGTTTGAGGCCTCAATGAAACCTATGGACTCTCTTTCCCCTTAAGAAATGTTCATAGTTCTCAAACTATTCCAAACAATTGAAGAGGAGGAAAGGCTCCCAAACTCATTATATGAGGCCAGCAATATGAGGCATGAAAACCAGACAAAAACACTCCAAAGAGAGAGAGAGAGAGGGAGAGAGAGAGAATTATAGACTGTAAACCTAGATGTAAAAATCCTCAACAAAATACCAATAAGCTGAATTCAGCGATACATTGAAAAGACTTTATCCCATGATCAAGTGGGATTTATTCTTGGGATGCAAGGCTAGTTCAATATCCACAAATCAGTTAACATGATACACCACAGAAGCAAATGAAAAAGTCATATGATTATATCAATAAATGCAGGAAAATGCATTGGACAAAATCTAGCATCTATTCATGATAAAAATTCTCAGCACAGTGGGGATAGAGAAAACATACTTTAACATCATAAAGGCCATCTACGACTAACCCACCTATAACATCGTCAATGGTGAAAAGCTACAAGCTTTTTCTCTAAGATCAGATACAAGAATGTCGTCCACTTTCCCTACTTTTATATAACAGTATTGGAAGTCTTAGCCACAACAATCAGACAAGAAAAAGAAATAAAAGGCATCCAAATTGGAAAGAAAGAAGTAAAACTGTCATTATTTGCAGATGACTATATAGAGAAAACCCTAAAAAATTCACCAAAAAATAATTAGAATAAATGAACTCAGTAAATCGCAGGATACCAAATTAATATTCAGAAGTCAGTTGCATTTTTACACACCACTAACAAACTATCAGAAAGAAAATTATGAAAATCCCATTTAAAATTGCACCAACAAGAATGAAATACCTAGGAAAAAATTCAATAAAGGAGGCAAAAGACCTGTGCTCAAAAACTGTAAGGCGCTGAAGAAAGAAATTGAAAAAGACAGTAATAAATGGAAAGCCATACCATACTCATGGATAGGAAGAATTAACATTGTTAAAATATCCATACTACCCAAAGCAACCTACAGATTCAGTGCAATCCCTACAAAAATACCACTGGCATTTTTTCACAGAACTAGAACAAATAATCCTGAAATTTATATGGAACAACAAAGGACCTTAAATAGCCAAAGCTGTCTTGAGAAAGAAGAACAGAGTTGGAGGTATCACATTACCTGGTATTAAACTATACTACAAAACCATAGTGATGAAAACGGCATGGCACTACCATAAAAACAGACATATAGATGAACAGAACATAATAAAGAGCCCAGAAATAATCCCATGCCTACATGGTCAATTAATCTATGAGAAAAGAAACAATAATATATAGTTGGGTAAAGATAATTTATGCAATAAAGGATGTTTAGAAAACTGGACAGATACATGCAAAAGAATGAAAATGGATTACTTTCTTCCACCATATGCTAGAATAAACTCAAAATGGATTAAAGACTTAAATGTAACACTCAAAACTATAAAACTCCTAGAAGAAAACATAGGTAGTAAACTCTTTGACTTTGCTTTTGGGAGTAATTTTTTGGATATGTCTCCTCAAGCAAGGGAAACAAGCCAAAAAAATGAAACAAATTTCACTTAGTTTGGGACTACATCAAACTAAAAACTTTTTGCACAGAGAGAAAACCATTAAAAACAACAATGAAAAGCCAACCTACGGAATGGGAGAAGATATATTTACTAGCGATACATCTGATGAGAGGTCAATATCCAAAATATATAAGACACGCATACAACTTAACACCAAGAAAAATGGACAGAGGACCTAAGTAGACCTTTTTCCAAAGAGGACATACAAATGGTCAATAGACATATGAAAATATGCTCAGCATCAGGGAAATTCAAACTAAAATCACAATGAAATGCCACCTTACACCTGTCAGGATGGCTATCATCAGTAAACGCACAAATAAGTGTTGGTGAGGATGTGGAGAAAGGGAACCCTCGTGCACTGTTGGTGGAAAGGTAAATTGGCGCAGCTACGAGGGAAAAGAGTATAATGTTCCTCAAAAAGCTGGAAATGAAACTGCCTTATGACCCAGGGATTCTACTGCTGGCAATTTATTTGAAGAAACTCAAAATACTAATTTGGAAAGACATATGCACCCTTATGCTCACTGCAGCATTGTTTACAGTAGTCAAGATATGAAAGCAGCCTAAGTGTCCACCGGGAGACAAATGGATAAAGAAGACATGACATACGTGAAGCCTGGAAAGGAGAGGCAGTGGAGGGAGCAACTGTCATCTCAAAATAAGAGCAGTCACAATGAGAGAGGCAAGCTGTGGGCAGATGTTTATATCACGGAATGTTAGTCAGTAAAAAAGAGTGAAATCTTGCCATTTGCAGCAACGTGAATGGACCTAGAGGGTATCATGCTAAGTGAAAAAAGTCAGAGAAAGAAAAATAGCGTATGTTTTTACTTGTATGTACCCCCAAAAATAAAAAATAAAACAGAAACAAACTCATAGATACAGAGAATAAACTGACAATTGCCAAATGCGAGGGGGTTTGGCAGAATGAGTTGTAAGTCATATAAATGTCTAATTACTATGTTGTACACCTAAAACTAATATAATATGGTATGTCAACTGTAATTTTAAATATATATTCATAGGTGACCCCATACAGCAAGTTTTATTTATAAACCTAGGAGATTCACGGGTCTCTTGAGTCTTGGAGGTCCCTAGGTTAAGGAAAACACTAATAAGGATAAAAAAATGATTTAGTTCTTCCACTCTTTCTGACCCTTTCTCCCCAGATGTCCTTCCCCAAGTCCCTACAGCTGGGCTGTCAACACAAAATCAAGCACCACGTGGTACAAGGTGAAATGGGTGTGAGAATGGTCACTTACTTGGGGTAGTCACAGGTACAGGGTGCAGCAGTAGTTGGTGTGGTTTGGGCTATGAGAGAACATGAAGGGAATGAATTAGTGTATCTGCCACTTTCCACCCGCCTTTCCAGCTTAAGTGTCCCAGGTGCCCCACCCTCTCCAAGCACCCAGCAGAGATTAATGTTGTGGGCTAGAACCCAGCAGACGGAGAGAACATTGTTCCTTAGATCCTGCATTCTTTAACGTGGAAATTAGAACCAGAACTAAAAAACCACCAGCCACACAAACAAAGGAAAAGCATAGTGTTTCTATAGCCCCATATGTCCCTTTGATAAACAAAACCTCTGTGTCTCCCTCAGAGCTTTTAATAGGACTCTTAGGGAGATATGCTCCCTCTGCTTTAAGCACAGAATCGATCTCAAGGCCAGGAAGTCAAGTACGAAAAGCGAATTCCAGAACTAGTGTTTCTCCAGACCCTTGGCGATAGATCTGACCTTGCTGCTTTCTTGGTTTGTTCATTCGTTTGCAGGGAAGTGAAAGGACCCACAGTGAGTTTTCCCAACACCTACAGCACAAATGGGGTGGGTGCTAAGGGACATAAACTACATTTCCCCAAACTACCCAGCTGGTCTAGTACCAAGCACAGAGACACCCTTTACTCAAACGTGGAGGGTCCGTTCTCTCTGACCCCCTTTTCACTCTTCACCACAGAGAAACAGGGCTCCTCCAACTTCAGAAATGCTGTGTTATTACAGCACACTTCCCAGTCACTGCAGTTCCTTTTAACTCAGCGGGGAGGCAGGTAACGGTTTCTGTCCTGAACTTACCAGTGTTGCATTCAGGTTGGGATGAACTTCCTCCCATACTGTCTTCCCCTGAAAATGAAGAAGGTCCCTCTGAGAAAGCCTGGAAGAGAGAAGAGGCGGTGGAGGGGTTAACTGCGATCTCAATATACGAGCGGTACCAAGGAGAGAGAGGCAGGTCACAGACTGTGGTGTGGCTGCCTCAGCTCAGCAGCCCGTCCTCAGCTTTGCAGGACTAGAAGTCTGATCTTATCAGGGAACCTAGAGCTGACTGATTACTCCAGAACCAACTCCCACCGACCAACTCACAGGCGACGGAGGTATGAACTGAGATGACAGAAGGAACATGTTGGTGTAACATGTCGCATTCTATCGGAACACGTAAGAAAGCCAGTTAAGACCACACTCCTGAAGTAAGGATGGGAGAAGACAAATGGGTACTTTTTAATAATTTTTAAAATATTTATTTATTTATTTATTCTTTTTTATTGATTATGCCATTACATTTGTTCTATTCCCTCCTCCATTCCCCTCCACCCAGCACACCCCCTCCCCCACCATTCCCCCCTTTAGTTTATGACCACGTGTCTCAAGTTCTTTAGATTCTGTATTTTCCCTACTATTCTTACCCTCCCCCCATCTATTTTCTACCTACCATCTATGCTACTTATTTTCTGTACCTTCTCCCCCCTTCTCCTTCTCCCACTCCCCTGTTGCTAATCCTCCACGCGATCTTCATTTCTATGGTTCACTCCTGATCTAGCTGTCCTCTTAGTTTGCTTTTGTTTTAGGTGTGGTTGTTGATAACTGTGAGTTTGCTGTCCTTTCACTGTTCATATTTTTTATCTTCTTTTTCTTAGGTAAGTCCCTTTAACATTTCATATACTAAGGGCTTGGTGATGATGAACTCCTTGAATTTGGTCTTATCTGAGAAGCACTTTATCTGTCCTTCCATTCTAAATGAAAGCTTTGCTGGATAGAGCAATCTTGGATATAGGTCCTTGGTTTTTCATGACTTGGAATACTTCTTTCCAGCCCCTTCTTGCCTGCAAGGTCTCTTTTGAGAAATCAGCTGACAGTCTGATAGGAGCTCCTTTGTAGGTAACTGTCTCCTTTTCTCTTGCTGCTTCTAGGATTGTCTCCTTAATTTTAATCCTGGGTAATGTAATTATGATGTTCCTTGGTGTGTTCCTCCTTGGGTCCAACTTCTTTGGCACTCTCTGAGCTTCCTGGACTTCCTGGAAGTCTATTTTCTTCACCAGATTGGGAGAGTTCTATATTATTTGTTCAAATAACTTTTCCACTTGTTGCTCTTCCTCTTCTCCTTCTGGTACCCCTATGATTCAGATGTTGGAACATTTAAAGATGTCCTGGAGGTTCCTTAGCCTCTCCTCACTTTTTTGAATTCTTGTTTCTTCATTCTGTTCTGGTTGAATGTTTCTTTCTTCCTTCTGCTCCACACCCTTGATTTGAGTCCCAGTTTCCTTCCCATCACTATTGCTTCCCTGTATATTATTTTCCTTTACTTCACTTAGCATAACCTTCATTCATTATTTTATGTAATTTGCAACCAAATTCAACCAATTCTGTGAGCTTCTTGATTACCAGTGTTTTGAACTGTGCATCTGATCAGTTGGCTATCTCTTAGTTGCTTAGTTGTATTTTTTTCTGGAACTTTGATCTATTCTTTCATTTGGGCCTTTTTTTTTTTTTTTGCCTTGACCAGCCTGTTATGTACTGAGGGGCAGAGCCTTAGGTGTTCACCAGGGTGAGGCAACCCACGTGGCTGCATTGTGATGCCATTTGTGGGGCAGGGGTCCGAGAGGAAACAGTGCCGCTTGCTCCGCTCTCTGCTAGATTTCAGTCACTTTCCCCACTTCCCACCAGCAAATTGGGCCCTTCTGGTGCTGATTCCCGGGTGGGCTTTTATACGTTCTAGGACCCTGTGGGTCTTTCCAATGAGCTTTCCTGTGAGGCTGGGAGTTTCTCCCACTGCTGCCTCCACCCCCACAGGTGTTTTCAATCAGTGGTTTGAGGCTTTATTTCCCTGCGCTGGGGCCCTGGGTTGTGTGATCCATCCCGCTCCCCAGTTGTTCCTCCCGGTTTATCTACACATGAATGTGGGATCACCTGCTCCACCAGCCACCGCCTGGCCTGCCCCAGTCCTCCAACCACCACCTTGCTGTGAGTCCTCTCCCCCTGGCCGCCCATCTCTGCCCCTCCTACCGGTCTGGATGAATGTGTCTTCTTTAACTCCTTGGTTGTCCGACTTCCATACAGTTCAATTTTCTGTCAGTTTGGTTGGTTTTTGTTTTTAAACTGTTGTTGTCCTTCTTTTGGTTGTGCAAGGAGGTACAGTGTATCTACCTATACCTCCATCTCGGTCAGAAGTCCTTAAAAAAAGCTTTTTATCACAGGCATTCTCTCATGCCACTAAGAATTTTCTGTAAGCATTTTTTGTGGTGACAGGTCTTTCTGTTACAGTTATGTACTACAGTTTGCTTCCCATCACTATTTTCTTAAAAAAGAAAGAAAATAGAAAAAAAGAAAGCTCCCCACCTGTACATCTTCTTAACCAGTTCCCTGCTTGTTCATAAATGTCTCCACTTGTATTATTATTTATATTTCATTACTTTATAATAAACCAATTTTAGGAGGCCACGATTTTATTTCATACTTAAGTAAACCCATGGTAAGAATTTTTGGCTCTGCTATATCATTATATTTCAGGGTGATTTATTTAGACAACAGAAGCCACCAGTTGTTTAATTGTCCAGCTCTCAAAAAAGAAGCCATTTCCAAGTCCCCGGACATGGGGGAGGTTGGGAGCAGGACCGCACCACCACGGAGCAGCAGCAACAACTTCATACCCAGTGACTTACAACGCGACCCAACTTTTTTAGTTCATGCATTGGGACACTAAGAAAGACACAGATGGGAAATGTGTGAGAACTCTGAGCCAGGAGAACAGAAAGCCACCATGCATAGCAGAACCAGCAGTGGTAACAATTTTTCTAGCACTTTTTTGCATTTAACAATTGATGATGCTCTGTAAAGCACCATAAAATATTTATGTAGCATTTTAAGTATATTGAAAGGCGCGTTTATGCTAAGCAAACACAGTATGAACTTATCTTACAAACTGGTACTAGACCCTACACCTGGGGAGGTGGAAGAGAAGATCTCCACAGGTTTCTGGAAAATCTTAAGCTTCGCAACAGTGGCTCTGAATTTGCAACTGTCCCCAAAGAAAGGTTACCACAGCTGCCTTAAAAAAAAGTCGGGCCACCCCACCCTGAAAGACAAAACCATTACCCAGCACCATGGGGCAACAGCTACTTACAAATCCAGGCGGAGGGAAGAAGGAAGCACATTGTCCTTGAAAAACAATGCTCACGCACTTGACAGAAGCATAAATGCAAATAGAAACAATGCTATATATACTTTGCCACACTCTGTCCAGCACCGCAGAAACTTCCTGGTTGCGTTTAAATTCACCCACTCAGTGCAGCCATTCAAACCCAATCCTTTTCCCACCAAATAAAGTTTAGAAGACAAAACATGAGAGAAACTACTAACAATTAGACGACATTCCTCTTTGGTGAATGATTACTTTGCCTAGATTAAAAGCAATGGGGTAAATCTATTTACCTTTACAGAAACCGTCCAGTCATGAGGAGACACTGCCTAAACTGAACTTGTACTTGCTTCCGCTGCTACTCTTATTTTTCAAAAATGACTAAGTAACTACTGTCACTGTCGTGGTCTCATCCAGCTGTGTTGCAAATCAATGAAACTCGAGGGCAGACTTCCTCTTTGAGGCCAACAGTATTTTTTTAATCCCATAAGCAGGGAATTTCTCTCATATCTTTTGAAACATGAACGTCAAACCACAAGGGATCAGACAAATTTATTTCTAGTTCAGTACATGTTGAGTATTTAACCACATGCCAGGTACTGGTGTTGGGGGCGGGGTCAGCCGTATGGCATGATCATTGTCATGAAACATCTTATGGTGTCATTTACTCTAACCGCGGAGATGAGGTGAATAATAAAACACAAACTGAACATCAGTGTGAAGAGTTAAGCGCTGCCCTGGCTGGTAGATCAGTTGGTTGGAGCAATGTCAGCAGCAAAAGTTGTGGGTTTGATCCTCAGCCAGGGCACACACCTAGGTTGTGGGTTCAATCCCCCTTCGGGGTGTGTACGGGAGGCAACCAATTCTCTCTCTGCCTTCCTCTCTGTCTCAAATCTATAAGTGTGTCCTCAGATGAGGATTAAAAAGAAAAAGTTAAGCGCCAGCTGTGCGAACGTTGTGTTAAGAGTATGGAGAGCCCTTCCAAGAGAAGGCAAATCATTTATAAACACCTATTCATAACACGATATTAATAAACATACTCATTAAGTAAACACAGTGAATCATACAGCGGGCGGGGCGCTGTGGGTAATTCTGGGAAGCCCCTCTCGGACCCTACCGCCTCACGGAGCAGAAACCAGCCAGACGAGTGAAGAAGAGGCTAATCACAGGCTGCTTTACTGCCATGAAGAAAAGCAGCCGACGCCATCCATACCTGAGAGCAAATGGGAGAGACTCTAGATAAAATGATGAGTAGGGAAGGTCTGTGCAAGGAGCAGACAGGTACGGGGACAACCAGAGGACAGGACAGAGTTGACCAGGCAGAGAGCCCGGGAAGACAGAGGACAGGGCAACTCCCAGGGCCTAGCAGAGTGGGTGACATCAGGAGCGGCTGTGGGCGGACAGACCTGGGGCCGGAGCCTGGCCGGGTGGGGTGGGGATGGAGGGAGAAAGAAGAAAGTGTGCCAGGAGTGCCCCAGGCCCAGGACTGGTTGCTGGGTCTGAGTGATGTATTTCCGAGATCTCAGCACCGTCCCAGGGTGGGGCATTTGTAAGGGGTGGGAAGGGAAATTCAGTTTCATGGGTGGAGTTCAGCCAGACGGTTGGAGGTCTTTCAATCCAAGCAAGGAATATATTTTCAGTGTTAATAAGGAACCATTAAAGGATTCTGAATTGGGATATAATAAACATGGCCATTAAGGAAGACGATACCACATCACAAGATAAACTGCGGGTAGAGAAAGAGGCTCGGAAATCTTCTAGGAGGGTAGGGCAGTGTTTGAGGTATTTAATGAAGGCATGAGCAGCGGTGGGGAGGGGCCCCCGGGAAACCTGCCGGGAGACTGGAAGTGGTAGAACTGGGCACTTGGGTCTGGGAAGGACGTAGCAGATGAGTCAATGACGACGCCAAAGATTTTGAATCTCAGTGGCGGAGAGAATCCGCTTTTTCATTCACTCCACAATGAGCACATATTTTGTGCCATGACTGAGTCTAAGTTCTGAGGATGTCACAGTGAGCACAAAACGGCCTGTCCTTCCTTCGTGGAACTTACAGATGCAAAGGAGGCTGTGACCGCACCAAGACGTGGTGGGTGGTAGCCGTTCCGTGAGCTGTGAAGGCGCAGGGCCCCCGCCTGTGTGCGTCCGTGACCCAGGGAACCAGGGCGGGCTTCCTGGAGGAACATGAGCTGAAATTGAGTTGCGAGTTGGAGTTTCATTGGGCCAAAAGCAGCGGGGGTCACAGTGGGTGATGACCACACGGAACAGAACATTAAAACCCCAAAGTCCTGTGTCAGAAAGGGGAACAGGTAGTCCAAACAAACTAGTGAGAGGGATAGTTTTTCAAGTACAGAGTGTGCCGGAGCGGTGCGGGCTGCTGGGACGTGAAACACGGAGGGGAAGAAGCGGAAGAAGCAGGAAGGGGCCAGTTTCCTCAAAGCTTCTGCCTTCTTAGAAGAGAAGTGGGTTATCTGCACCAAAGACACTTATTTAAACAAGGGGAACATGATTGAACTTGCAGTCTGAGAGCACCCCTAAAACTGGGGGCAAGAACAGGTTGGGAGGCAGCCGGAGCAGCTGTGGAACCCCTGGCTGAGGAGGGGTTCCTGCCGTGAGCCAGTTGGGGGATGCGAGGAGCCTGGACCAGCCACAAGCAGACGCAGGCAGACGCAGGGAGAGAAATTCATCTGAGCGACATCTAGGAGAGTGGTGGCAAAACAAGGGAGGAAAAACTGTCAAAGACTGTGAGCAAAGGTGTCACCAAAGGGCAGGAGGAAGAGGAGCCAGAAAAGGAAGCATCAGATGATTGAGAGTGAGGATTAACTGATGAATCGATGTTCACTGAGCACCCACGCACAATGCCACGTTCTGGGGTACGTAAGCGTAACAAAATGTCATAGAAGTGACATCAGACGTCTCTACAGGATGGAGTGGGACCCAACAGAGAAGGGGCTCAGGCTACCCAATAGGGAGGGAGAGTGGGTGTCAAGACAAGCATCATGAAGATGACATTTCGATTGCATCTTGAAAGATGACTCACGTGTTCCAGGCAGAGGAATAGCGTGAGCAAAGGCCTGCTTTGTCACGCTCAGGGAAGTGCAAATACTATTTCACCATTGCTGGTGCTGTGGGTTATGAGGGTGGGGAGGGGATGGGAAATGTAAGAGATAAGAAAGGCCGGAGAGGAGGGCAAGACCCTAAACGAACTTGACCTTAAAGGCTGCAGAGAGAGTGCGGAAGAGCAGTAACATGATCACATTTGGGCTTAGGCAACAGCGCGCAGGGGGAACTGGTGAGGGCCAGTCAGCAGGTGGTTTGCTGTTGCAGCTGTGACGAGAAGTGGGGGTGACGTGACCAGAGGCCGTGGCCGTGGGGAAGAAGAGGCAGGCGCACTGGCAAATGCACTCATTTCTTAGGTGTGAGAAGGGAAGGGAGACAGAGAACTCGGGATAACTCCTGGCTTTCTGCCTCATCTCATTGGCTGATAGAGAGAATGTGGGGGGAGGGGATGTAATGAGTTTGCTTTTGGACACAGAGTTTAGGGTCCCTGTGGGACACTGTGCCAGAGACTTAGCCAGGGGGGTTGGACGCGCGGGTCTGGGGCTCACAAAAGAGAACTAGACCTGCACAGCAGACACTAGCGCTCGCCCCTAACCAGTGGTTGGCTCCTCTTGTCACAGAGCCACCTGTGGTTGGGCAGTACCACGTGACACATTCTGCCCAATGGACGAGGTGTGAAAGTCATGGCTATTCTTTCTAGTTGAATCACTTCACTGCTGAAGCAAGACCTCCTCTGACCCCTCCCCTGCAGGACGAGCATGGAGATTCGTGATGAGGAGATGAGGTTGAAAGCTCTGAGGCTGGGCAACAGGGTCACCATACAGGGGACAGCCTCTCTGGAGAGTCACCAGAACCTGGACTGGATTCTGTACGAACAAGAAATAACCTCTCTCCATGTTGCTCTGTTGAGATGTCGGGGGACAGTTTCTTAAAGCACTTAATCTAACCTCTCCTGCTTAACACAACTCGAGACACAGGTTAGAAGTCATCATTATACATGTGACACGTAGAAGCCTAGGGAGTGGACGAGGTCATCCAGGTACAATTTGTAGAATGAGAATAAAAATCCTTAGTCCAGAACTCTGGGGAACACCAACATTTAGGGGGGAGGCAAACCAACAACCAAAAAAAGTCGCCTAAGGAAACAAACAGTGACAGTGAGCAAATGCGGTCAGAGGACAGGGAGGAGAGAGAGGAAGGAAAAGCTGTGGCCAATATTGCCAGTGTGCTCAGAGGTCAAGGCAAACGAGGACTGGGAAGAGCTGATTGGATTTGGAAATGAGGAGAGCATAATCTCTTTTGCTAAAGCAGCTCGGGTTCGGTAGTGGTGGGAAGAAAGACTTTGATGGGTTGAAGAGTGAATGGAAAAACTCCAGACAGCAGAATAGATCTTTAAAGAAATCTTTGTTAAAGAACACGAGCAAATGCTGGATAAAATACTTTAAATGCCATAATTTAAAAATGCGTGGCTGAACTAAACGTTGGAAATCCTCCAAGGTCAGAAAGGAAGAGAGCTGAGTGAGACCCGGAGCTGGCGTTTGCTCTGGGAACAGCACCAATGTATGATGGCCTGTAGCTGGGGTCTCAAGGCTGCGTGCGTGAGGTCAGGAGACCAAGTCCAGAGCCTGCTCAAGGATGGAAGGTACATCGGAACCCCAGTGGGTGAACTAGGAATCCCCACAGCACAGATGGAAATGCAGGGATCCTTGCCATCTCGGTTTTATCTTGCAGCGTAACAAACAATCACAGATTTAGAGGATTTTACCAACACTCATTTATGATCCCAGTGTCTGGGTGAGAGGCCTGGGCAGTTTCCACAGGGTTCTCTGCTTCAGGATCTCACCAGGCTGAGGTTCACATACTGGCTGTGGTGTTATCAGAGGCTTGACTGGGGCAAGATCCACTTCCAAACTCCCTCTCTTTGTTGGATGAATTTGTTTCCTTTCAGCTGCATGACCGAGTCCCAGCTTCTTCCTGGCTGCCAGCCGGGGTCTGTCCGCAGGGCCTCCTCTCTGTAGCCACAGTGCTGAACAGAACACTCCCACTAAGAGCAGCAACGGTCTCGCCGTGGTTGAGTCAAATGGGCACATCTTGGCCCTTGTCTACCTTGACCTCTTAGCATCAGCCTTTCCTCCCTGGCCTGCTTGACCTCCCTCTGACCTGAGACAGCCCTCCCTTCCCACTCCACACTATTTTCCTAGGTTGTTTCGCCCACTCCCAGGACCTGACTATCTATATGCCACAGATGCTGTAGTTTGTGACTCCAGCCATAACGTCTACCAGTACATAAGTTCATTACCCACATGTCACCACATGGCTGTCTAACTCACTCATATTCAATATGATATTCACTACTCACAGCCAAGAATAAAACTGAAAGCAGAACCTTTCCCCGGGAAACTTGCTTCTTCTCATCTATCCTCTATCTCAAGTTGTAGCACCACCGCAAGCCAGAGACCTAGGAGTCGACTTACACGCATCTCTCGTGCTCACTCCACTTGCCCAGTGACCAGCCGTCCCCCTCTGCAGAACCCTTTCTCTGCCTCCCCTCCGGCATGTGTTCCTCCGTGGCTCTGGTCAGCCTGCCTTTCTTGAGACAAACTCCCTCCAATATTCCAAATCACAGAGAACAGTGCCTTCCTTTTCCCTCTCAAGAAAACTGACCCAGCTCCTCCCCTCTCCCACGTTCTCCCTACTTAAGCATCACTAATGTTGCCTTTCCTATTTCTCACCAATTCCTGCCTTTCCAGCCACACTGCCAAGGTCTTCAACGCCCTACAGTTGAAGAAGCCAATATGCTCTCTCCAAACTGCCCTCTAGTTGCTACTGATGTTCGGAAACAAGAATCTAGTCATCAGTCCTCTGCTTACGACGTTGTTCATTGGCTTCCCTGCCCTCAGAACAAAATCTAACTTCTAAGCATAGCATTTAGGGACCCTAAGGTTAACTCCTTACTTTTTATAGTTCCCTTTTAATGTTTTTAAGACATTTTATTTATTTCTAGAGACAGGGGGAGAGAGGGAGAGAAACTCCAACGGGGTGGTTGCCCATTGAGCGCTCTCTACTGGGGACCTGGCCCACAACCCAGGCGTGTGTCCTGACTGGGAATTGAACCGGCAACCCTTTGGTTTGCAGGCTGGCACTCAATCCACTGAGCCACACCAGCCAGAGAACCCTCTCAATTTCTTGGGCTTAAAAAATGTTCCTCTCCTACACTGGCTTCTCTACAATCACCCATGCTGGCTGCTCCATCTTCCCAGACTCCAATCCCAACACTTCTGGCTTACTTTCTCTTTCAAATGCCAGGTCAGACATTTCTTTTCTGACCGGTTGCTTTCCTGCTTTCTCTGTATTTTCCTGGATGCTGTCATTGCTTTCTTGGGACTGGAGATTTTGCTTTACTACTCACTCAGGTTAATACTTGACAGGACAGTTGTGCTGGTTCACAAGAAGTCAATCTGTTTAGGTGGGACTTTCTGGAATTCTATTCCAGGAATATTCACATGAGAGTGAGCTGCTAGAGACTCGTGAGCAATTTCGGAGGGTGCCTGCGAGGCAGCCACTGCTGTGCAGCCCACACACGTTGTGGTCTGTTGGATCCCCAGCTGTGGCCGGGGCCTCCCAGCCGAGCCCTCCCAGACTTTCCCCGGGTCAGCCTTTGGCTTCTCCAACCTTTGGACCAGGCGCGTGTGATGAAGGGCCTGGGGTTTTGTAGGCCCTTCATCGCAACCTTACCATTGAGGTCAAAGGTAATAACACTGGCAATGTCAGCCTGTGTGCTTGTGACCTCCACTCACTCCTGCTCTCTCCCACTGTACGTCCACCTTCCTTCCTCAATGGCCTGTTCTGTGAGCCCCAAGCTCCTCATCAGGATCAGAGACAACGGCCTCCAGAGACTGTGGCCAGCTCCCACTCGGTGTGTGGGCAAACCACTGAACACACACACACGCACGCACGCGCGCACATGTCCCAGGGGAACCGCTTCTCTGATGTTGAGTGGAGTATTCTTAGTGCTTTTCTAGCCAACTTTTAACTCTGCGTTAGGAACTGGCATCTCTAGAGGATCGGTGTAAGATGGGGCTTAGTGCAACCGTAATTGTTAAATAATCTAGAACACCTGTGTTGACTCTACCAGCAGCTCTTTTAAGAAACAGTACAGATGTCAATGTGATTTCCATTGTAGATGGATACATTAGCCATCAGTAAATACAGACCCAGACGATTGTTACATAAATTAAAATCCTAAGAAGTCGAGAAAATAGCAATCATCCATACAATACATAGTTTCAAATATTTCCTATTATGTAAGTTGTGCGTTTGTGTACAATTAAATCTTTATACAAGTATGGAAGAACTAAATGCAGAAAAACCTATGGAAGGGCAGAATTTTCTGATTTACCTGCTGGATTCTCTAAAAGACTTTATTTATTTATTAAGAGAGGGAGAGGGAGAAAGAGGGGGAGAAACGTCAATGTGTGGTTGTCTGGTTGTCCCCCACACGCTCCTTACTGGGGACCTGGCCTACAACCCAGGTAGGTGCCCCAACTGGGGAATCAAGCTGGTGACCGTTTGAGTTGCAGGCCAGCACTCAACCCACTGAGACACACCAGCCAGGGAAGGGCTACCTGCTAGATTCTTAAGAATGAATCCACAACATATTGAGTCCCTAATATTTTCTATAGACATATTATAAAAGTGATAATAAAGTCAGTAATATGATTTCATGTATAGTATTTCCTTTAGTTATTTAAAGAATACTAAAAAGCTCTACATTTCCCACAACCTACCAGGTAGCCAGAAGCAGCTCACCGGTAACAGTCTTCTACACATGGTTATCAGTTCAATGGCATCTTTAATTCTTACTGACATGACAAATGTCACGATATTATTTCATAAGATTACACAATCTGACAAACCTTGTTCAACTGTCACTTTATTGTAAGGCGACAGAATTAATTACAAATTTAAATGGTAACTCAGTAGTCTTTCGCCAGGTACCAAATATTATTAAAAGCACACTGCCGATTCCAAAGCGATCATCGGACAACTCCAAATGCGGAGCAAGGACAAAAAACACCTCCCTGGTGAACAGACCATTTTAATTCTCTCATCAGGTGGGACTGGCGCCTTTCATTTTTAGGGGGGTGAGCGGGACTCCAGGAGCAGGTGACACGGACAGCTTTTGTCACGGCCTGGCTTCCACTCAGCCGAGTGTTTCTGGCTGTCTCAGTCTCGGTCGGTTCATTTACATGATTGGCTGGGCCTGGGCCTTCTTCGCAAGCAGCTTTAGATCTGCGATGCACTTGGCGATCGTCTCCTTTTCCTGGGACGAGGACAGAGGAACCAGTTAGACCTTTCCAAAGCAGCACCAACACCGTCATTCCACAGGTGCTTCCTGCGGGGCCTGGAGGTCCCTCCGCAACCTCGAGATGGCTCAGTGTGACAACTGCTAGGAATTATTTAATGGTTTACACAGAAAAGATGCGATTTTGAGCAAATCTGGGGACTTAAGAGTCATTCCTCAGAACACGTCAAACCCTGTACTTGTGGCATTTTGACGAGAAAAAATGTTTCAGCCCTTAGTGCTTGCTCAGGACTTGCCAGGTCTGCCAGAACCTGTACGAGCCATGCCGCCGCCCCACAAGAAAAAACGCCTCACACTGTGTACACCTTAATAGGTATATGGTACTTTTACATAAAAAATGGTTTCTCAGAAAAACTCATTAAATATACTATATATCTGGAAAAAAGGAGATCAGGTCATAAGTAAATAAAAAATGTATACTTTAAAAAGGAAATCAAATTCAGGTAAATAACAGAAAACGTTTCTGCCCCAGACCGATAAATCAAGTGGCAGGAAGAGGAGACGGAATAATCGCCAAGGAATTAGGATGGAAGAGGCCTCGTCCGGTCGCTGCGTGTTGCAGAGAAGTTAACTGTTCCCGAATGAGGGAGCCTGAGCACAAGTCCATAATAAGTGGAGTTCTGAGCCACCTGCGGTTCTGACCTGTGAGGTATGAGACCCCACACAAGCTCCGAGGAAGGAGGAAGCCAGCAGGGCAAACCCGCAGCCTTTCCTAGGTTCCGCTGTGCAGGGAAAGCAACCAGAGCCCATCTGTGGGCTGAAGTCTCCCGGCCAGCCCCTCTGATCTTAACAGAGCCGTCAGCAGCTGCACAGCAGAGACCTGCTACAACTCCAGAAGCTTCCAAGGCCGCGTACGTACCTGCTGTGCAGAGATGCTCTGCACCACGTGCTTCTCCACCCAATTGATCATGTGCTCTTGCTCCTTCCGACGCATCATGTTCTGCACTGAGATGTGGTAGTCCAGGCGATTCTTCACTTCCTTGTAGACTCGATGCAGCCGTTCCCGGTAAGTGACCTCCAAGGCCATGGCAATGTTATTCTGAAGCAAAAGTAAGAGATGATGAAGACTGTTTGCACAGCTGACAGATCACTTCCACTCTGAGGATTCTGCCTCTCACAGTTTCCAAGTTTTCTCTGTTTCACTCGGTGTAACTGCCATACAACATTAATTTCCCATGTACAAATGACGACTCAGTATTTGTATATACTGTGAATTGGTCGGTGCAATGAGTCCAGTTAACATGTTACCGCACACGTACTTCTAGACTCTGTTGGTTTTATTAGAAAGGCCCAGCAGTGCCAAGGGTGCTGTGTTGCTTCTCACGTTCTTTTTCTACTTTTATGGTTTCATTTTTCAAGATCTTTAATTCACTTGAAACTTGTTTTAGTATTAGGCGGAAGGCAGGAAACCAACTTTTATACTATCAACAAAGGTGCCCACCTGTCTCTCCTCCCCCAAGGTGAAAACACCTCCCACCTAAACCGCCTTCTGTGTGTAGGTCCCTCTCTGAACCGCCTCACCTGTTGGCCAATCCATTTGCACCGCACTGTACTGATTCAAGTTCATAATCTATTACTGAAGAATCACCAAAACAGACCCTTTGTTACAAACCACCCCCCCCCCCACCTAAATGAAGAAAAGCCAGTACTTTACAAAGTAAAAAGACTACTAATTTCTAGTTAAGTTTACTCTTAGACATCTTTTCCTGAGTTTGCTTCCTGTTTCAAGAGTCATGATGATTCTCTTCCGTTTTCTAGGTATATAAACAGGTAATCTATAAGAATAACCGCCTTTCTTCATCTTTATACCTCTTCTTTCTCTTCTCTAATATCAACTACTGCCTCCAGAACAGTGTCACATTAATACTGGTGACAGGGATATTTTCATCTAGTTTGTGACCAGATTCCGTACAGGCCTGCCTGTCAAATATCCAGGCTTGATACGTTCACCTCCGCCAGGCCCTCACTGCTTCTCAGTGCAGTTCTTCAGTTCACTCGCCCTCCTGCTCTTCCACTCACACCTCTTCTGTCCCCTTCACTACCTTCACCTCCCAGCGATTGACCTTCCTTCCTACGTCACTGGGAAAAGGAAGCGATGGAAGAGTCCCACAAACTCCCACCACCACGTAAGACGGGCTACCCGAACCCACACTCTACTCCGGGCCCTCTGGTCCACCGAAGGACATCGTTCCAGCATTTCTTCCCTCCCCTTCCCTGCATTAACTTCTCTCTCTACTAACTTGTCAGATGCTCACAAGTAATGACGCTTTCCATCTTTAAAAAAAAAATCTGCCTTGACTGCTGCACCCTCCTCCTGGCTAATCCCTTCGCTCACCATCACAGTAAAACTCCTCGCAGTCGTCTATACCGACTCCAATTTCTTCCGTTTTTTCCGATCTACTGCCATCACTTCACTAAAATAGCCCTTACCAAGGTCACCAAGAACCTCCATGTGGCTCCATCCTATGGCAAATTCCTAGCCCTTTATCACTTGCCCGTAAAGAGGTGACTACTAATCAAAAAGTCGTGTTTTCGCCCACTGTTTCCCTGTGTGTCCCAGTCTCACAGCTTTAATGCCACCTGTAAACTCGGGACCCCTGCGAGTGCAGCCTGGACATCTCCCCGTCAGGCCCAGACTCACACACTTGAGGTCCTAGCAGCTCTGCTTCACCGGGTCCCGGCCTTCAAACAGAACTGAAATCCTATCACTTCTTTGCTTAACACCGTCAGTGACTTCTTCTGCTCACGGCGAAGCTCTCACGGAAGCCTGTGGGACTCTACGTGAGCTTGCCCCTGGCCACACCCCCCACTTCGATTGTCTAATTCTCCTCACCCACTCTCTTCAGCTACACCGGCCTCCTTACTTTGCTTCCACTACTCTGAGCAAGCTCCTGGTGCGGGGACCTTACAGCTGTCCTTCCCTCTACCTGGATCGCTGTCCCACACAGCCTGCACCACTGCTTCTTCAGGTCTCTGCTCAAAAATCGCATCAGAGGCCTTTCTGGACCGCGCGTGAAAGCCCCAACTCCCTCCTCGTAAAATCTGTCCCTGTAACGACGTCCTTTACTGCTCTACGCAGCACTTACCGCCACTTGACACCCATGTCTGATCAGTTTTCCTTTCTGCCCTCTCACACCGTGGCTAACAAGCAACGACCCCACGAAGGCAGACTCTGCCCTGCCCTCTGCTGGAATCCCAGAGCCCTGCCTCGCCTGTCTCCACAGGGGAAGAACTCAATGAATGTCTATTAAGCAAATAGGAATGTGAAAAACTATCACTCGATTCCTTTGAAAAATACTACATCCTCAAAAGTCAGATTTTGTTTGTGTGTACATATTACACACAGGGCAGAAAGCATTCTATGCTTATAACCTAAATACGCACGGAAAGAGGTTTTCAAACATTCACACGCTTAAGAATTTTTTTGGATCCTGATTTTAAAAAGATAGATTTTTGGATAGCTCCTAGCAGAGGTTCTGACTCCACAAGTCTTAGAATACACCGGCACCGAGTGCCACCCTCAGGTGGCACCAAGACCGCCCAGACTGCCACGGGACCAGAGCCGTACCCTTCAGACCCCCCCTTCACCTCGGGCTCATGTCGTGGGTGCTCCTGCAAAGTAACGCTCCCCCATCAGGACGCCTCACTTTAAATATCAGGCGGGAAGTGCTGTGCTCAAAGCAATTAACAACAAAACACTTGAACATGTTCCTGAAGTTAATGTCTTAGAATCTAATTAAGCTCTGACCATGGTAAAAGTTCTACCCGAATGTGCTTTGTGAATTTGGAACACATATTATAGCAAATACGTGTCCTCATGATATGCCTTAGACATGAATACTATATTTTAATCAGCTGTAAATGAATGACTATTTCCTTTTGTGTGGATCCAAAATGTGTTTTTATAACTTACAATCTTCCTAATTTTAATAATCCTAATCAGTTATCCACTGGACAGGTCTTAAATGTCTACACAGCAATAACCGCCAGACCCCAACCTTATCTTTTTTCAATGAAATACGCTCCATCTATTCAGCCACTCCTCACGTAAGAGACTCTGACTTTCTGTTTCAAGTGCGCACGGACGAGTAGCTTCGTTCTCCTCGGGAAGCCCCGACACCCACCCTCTGGACATCGAACAGGTAATGGCGCTTCTGAACCAGCGCCTGCTGGGACTTCTCCAGGTCAATGGCGTCCTGGATGCCTTTGATGGAGGCCTGCTTCGCTTCTTCTAGTTGGGCGATTTTTTGCTGCAATTATGATATTTATAACAAAGATCAGTAAAAGCATCAAGGTTAATAAAAACAGATTCATTTTATTCTTCCTCAAAGTTATACCCCTCAGTGATAAAATCACCCACAAGAAACATACAAATGTACAGGAAGAAATGCACAAATCCTTAAACTTCTGATCTCGAATTAGTAACTAACAATGCCTGTAAGTGTACACATTATAATTAGGCTAATTTAATTATACTGAATATACACATTCACATAAAAGAACATCACTTGACGGCCTTGATGCTTCTAGTGTGGCCTGGAACGGGACACGAGGCCGGCAGCTCTTACCTCGTTGAGTTTGTCAGCAAACTCCCCAATAGAGGCGCCGTACTTTTTAACCATAAAGACAAGCAGCCCTATGGTTGATATGGCAGAAATGGTCTCCGGAGTGACCACGTATATTTCTTTGGACAGGAAATACAGGATAAGCCCAGTTCCGAGCACATAGGGTCCTAGAAGAAGCAAATGTTACTTTACGGTGGACGTGCTAGGTTTAGGAGGGGAAGATGCGGAGTACTTCTGTATTTACTTAGCGGACGGCAACGTGAAGGAGGGACTGAGCAATGAACGACGGACTGGAAAACACTCAGCAGAGCTGAGAGAACAAGGATCTGGACTCAAGGAAAGGGGGCTCTGCAACGTGTACGAGCTGATCAACACGAATCATCTCGGAGTCCGGATTCCTCCTCTGTAAACCGGGAATGGGCCTTCTCCACAGGGTTGATGAACCAGAAATAACGGTGTCAAGTGCCTGGCGCAGCTGCGCAGCAAGACGCACAACTCACTGAAAGGGAACCCTGCTTAGGGCAAAACTTATCCACGCCTGCTCATTTTTACTGAACAGGAACCTGGCACCGAAGGTTAAGAAGAACCTCACAACTGTAAAATAGTATATATATATATAAAAAATGAAGAATGAAGTATCAGGATTCTCAATTCCTGGAGCACCTAAGTACAATGCTTCAAATCCGTGTAGCTATCTCTTTTCTCCCTCACAAAATCCTGGCAGAGACAAGGCAGGCCCCCGGGGCAGCTCTCCGCAGGTTTCCCAGCAAGACTAGCACCTCAGGACGTGAGGCTCTGCGGAGAATAAACGGTTGTCCTGCGGACCCTGGAGCAGTGTGGTGGGGGATGGGGCAGTCAGGGCTGCTGCCCCGCCATGGGGACCAAAACCCGCACGTAACTTCTGACTCCCTCAAAACTTAACTACTAACAGCCTGCTGTCAACAGAGGCCTTACCAGCGAGTAACATAAACAGTCACGCAACACATACTTTGTGTGCTGTACGTATTATACACTGTATTCAGCAATCAGACAAGCAGGAAAAAAGGAAATCATAAGGAAAAGATTTACAGTATTTACGGGAAAATATCCACCTATGAGTGGACCCCTGCAGTGTGAACGCATGTCAAGGGTCAACTGCAGTCTCAAATATATATTACCTGAGTTTCCCACATGAAGTTGCATGTTATCTTTTTAAGATTTGCCCTCACATGGACAATGGTGAGGGGACTGACTGTGGAAGCGGTGGGGCGGGCTGCGTGGGGGGTGAAGGGCAAAAAGTGAGATGACTGTCACGGCATCAACAATAAAATATTTTTTAAAAAACCTCAAACTATTTCCCCTTCAATTTATAGGTTGTAAATGTGAATTTGCAAAAAGGCCCATCATGTGTAACATTTAAATCAGCCATGAAGCGCTGAGCACACCGATGTCCCCTGCACGTTTCGGTCAGGGGCCTGCTATCTGAGGCCAGTCCCTGGAGGGTAGAAACAAAGCTTCTGGTTTCCAAGGTCCCAGCCACAGTACTTGACAAAGCGAGGAAGGCAGTGCACGTAGTGGGAAGGCCACTTGGTACTCAGAACACCTGGGTTCAAGTACAACTCAAGAAGTGAGAATAAACCCTGGCAAATTCTTAGTTCTTTTTTTTTAAAGACTTTATTTACTTATTTTTTAAGATGGGAAGGAAAGGAGAGAAGGCAAGAAACATCAGTGTGTGGTTGCCTCTCACACGACCCCACTGGGGCCCCAGCCCACAACCCAGGCATGTGCCCTGACTGGGAATCGAACCAGCGACCCTTTGCTTCACAGGCCGGCACTCAGTCCACTGAGCCACGCCAGCCAGGGCAGTTTCTTAGTTCTTCTGGGTAATAAAAATGTCTTCATAGGACTATTGTAAGCATTAAATAATGTTAAATGAAAACACATTACATTATGAAAATGCAAGGTTTCAGAACAGTTTATGCTTTTCTGAGAGGGGGAAAAACAGATAAATATGGCCCGATTTATCTTTTCATGCTTTATTTTAACCCGCCGCTCTTCCCACCGTTATCTGCAGTACAGCCTATGGTCCCCCATTTCTTTACTGTGTATCCTGCAATCGAATCTGTGACCTGTGGTGGCCGGCCCCTTGGCTCACCACTGGGTGCCTGGACCAGCGCAGGCATTTGATGAACTTGGTACATCAACAGATGGAGGAGACACTGCTAAAAATCAACTTCAAATCCCAAACAAATTTATTTCACAGACAAGTTAGAGCAACTCAAGGTCCTGTTACACTGAACCATCCCACGGCTTACTTTTACAACAGCTGCCTGGACCTGTGTGGCACATGTGAAGAAGGGGCCACAAACGCCCTGGGTTCACTCAGACCACGCCATCCAAACGGGCAAAGGCTCACCTGTTACACCGGTTTTAGGATAAAGGAACTGGAAGAACTCCTCGGGAATCAGCCCGTGGCGAACTTTCCCTCCATATTCTGGAAGAGGTGGTACAGGGGCCAGGCTTGGCTGTCCAGTGTGGAAGATCCTTGTTGCCTGCAATACCCTGCAGGCAGCAATTGTACAAACTCAAAGCCCATTCTTCAAAAAAGAACTTGATGTATGAACAGTTGGCAGAAACAATGAATGGGGGTGAGAATAGAGGCAGTTTCCCAGGGTCACAACAGGAAGAGAAGAGACCAGGAACAGGAAGGTTAGGGCTGAATGATCAGCTGTGTGACAAGGGCAAATGACTTGGTAAAGCCATACGCCATCTCCTACCCAATACTAGGATCCCGTCGGTGAGTCTCACCAATCATCTGTCTGGCACTCTGTATGTCTACTGTTAGCACTGAAATACCTAAGAACATAGATGGCAGCCATAGCACCTGGGTTCAAGTCCTAAACTTGCCATCTGACTCTGAGCAAGTGATTTAAACTTTTGTACTGTCCAATTCCCATACGTGGGAATAAAGGGTATAACCTTGCAGGGCTGTGGTGAGAACTGAGCTAGTACACGTAGAGTGTTTAGAATGGGACTTGGCATATGGTAAAGCCCCACGCAAGCAGTCAGCTATTACACACCCGCTGTGTTGTGAGCTCCCGGCCAAAACTTTGACCTTTGAATATTGTCTGTGATGGGGTGCTGACTGACAACACTATGTGAAAGAGGATTTTTAGGTGTCAGGTAGATCTAATTACATTCACCTTTGAATAGCTACGTGTGTCCTTGAAACCTCCCTCCACTGGTTCCAATACTATTCCCCGTAAGAAAAATGATGCTCGTGCATCTGGGTTAAACATCTCACTCCCCTCATGTTCCTGACTGTCCACCACAGGGCGCTGGGTGGTTCTGCTCACAAAAGCGAGGTATACAGACTGATCATAACTCACTAACACAGCGTGACCAAATCATTCATTCTCCAAATACACATTTTGAACTTGCTATTGCTGTTTCTGGGATTGAACTGTTGCACTACAGATTTGCACGTTACTCTTGTATTGAAGTAGTCCAAGAATGCATTTTTAGCAATTACAGCAAACTGGTATCTCATTAAGTTTCTGATGAAGTAAAACACCCTAGTCTTTTTCCTGCTGCTGTCAAGCTTAGTCTCCTTCTAATACGCTCCTGCTGCTGTCAAGCTTAGTCTCCTTCTAATACGCAGTATGTTTTTGTCCACCCTCCCCACTCTGTACCTATTTCCCCTTGCAATGTAAGAGTTTATGTTATTTCTTTGATTTTGGTTAACTGCTTGTCTTTTGAGTAGTATTTTTTTTCAATTACAGTTTACATTCAATAGTATTTTGTACTAGTTTCAGGTACACAGCATAGTGTGAGTATTATTTCTGCCTCCCAGTCTATTAGCTACCCCATTAAACTTTTGAAATCTGAGAATCATGCTTGAGATTCTTTCATTTAAATCAGGGTTTTCTCAAGCTCAGCACCACTGACATTTGGGACTACTGACAATAGTCTTCTAGAAGACTACTCTGCGCACTGCAAATGATCAGCAGCGTCTCCACGGCCTTTATACACGGGAGGCATCTAGTATAGCATTATCCCCCACCTTCCCATCCAGGGGTGACAACCAAAAATGTTTCCGGACTGCGACAAGTGTCCCATGGAGGGAACCACTGATTTTAATCACAGCACTAAAGAACTTGCTTTAGGCTGACACAAATCCCTTCCCACTTGGCTAGCTTAGTCCAAGCCCTTACCTCCTCTCTTCTTCTGGTCAAATAACCCCTTAAACCCAGCCCTCTCCACACTGTCACCAGTGTTTTTAAAATGCACATTTGACTTAGAAACTCCAGCAGGCTCTCTTCTGCCTACAGAAAACCAACTAATATAGCACACAATTGAGCACCTGTCACATTCTATACCCTGACCTCTCTTCTTTATCCTACCCTCTAACCAAACAAAACAGTAGAAACATGCCTCGTGCTGCTCCTTCTGCCTGGCACGCCTCCCAACCAGCCTTCAGAACACCTTGAGTACATCCTTTACGAAGGTCTCTGCAATCTTGGGCTAACGGTCATTCATTCCACAAACCATTCACCGACTTTGCACTTATGTCAGACCCTGAGATCACAGCAATGAACAGACCAAGTCCTGACTTTGAACTATCAGGGGTGTGGGGCGTGTATGCATAGGTCCACACACAATTTCACGCAGCTGTTTTAAATCCTATGGAGAAAGATGGAGCAAGGTAAGGGGAGAGGGAGCAACAGAGTGGGGTAAAGGCTTTTTTGGTAGGAGGCCTGAGGACATGTGAGCCAAGGACCAGGGGTAAGAGAGAAGAAAAAGTAGAAAGATCCCAAGGCAAAAATACACTAGTAGTTTTCAAAGGACGAACAGGAAGATCATGATAACCACAGAATGAGCTAAGATGGGGGGGGGTGGAGATAAATAAAGAGGTAGGAAGGGATGGATGCATTTTGGGTCTTCTGGATTATGTGAATTTGGATTTTATTTCAAGTGGGATGGGGAACTCCAAAGGATTTGTGGGGGGGGGGCGGGTGAGGGGACGGACATAATCCCTGTGGTTGCTGTGAGAATGGGCTGTACTGGGCAAGAAAGAGAGGCAAGGAAACTAGTGGAGACTCCTGAAAGAGCCCAGGTGGAGGCCAGTGGAGGTGCACGCCCAGTAGCACTGGCGGTGGAAGAAGGGGTCCCTCAGCTGGTGGAGAGCCTCGCTGATGGATGAGATGTGGACTGTGAAATTCAGTGAAAAGATGTGGAGCGTGAAATTCAGCAAGATCAAGGATGTTCCTCGTATGTTATGTGTGTATCTCATGTATTTTATTTATTATCTGTATAATGATTATTTATCTGTGTGGAGTCTCTTACTTTTTTTTCTGGTAAGTTGGAAGCAGTCAATTATGGTCTCACTTCACTGCGTACAGAAAAATAATTGCAGGTAGATGAAAGCCACTTGTTCAAGCCATAGTACAGTTATCAAACTTGGCAAAATTTAGGGCTAAAACCAAAAAAATCCCTCCCCCCAAACTGACATGTTTGTGAAAACGACAAAACCAACATATTTAAGAAAAGTCTTAACATCATTACAAACCCATCTTCCACCCACCACCCTCTAAGGCAATACTTAGCCTTACCCACCTTTCTATCTCTGGTTCTATGATGGCAAATAAATACCTACTGAATCAATAGATTTCTCTAACTCTTCTGATCTGGCAGTGAAAATTGGAATCTGGGATACAGACCAAAAGCAATGTACACTTCATAATAAAACCTGCTCTCTCATATGTGTGATATGAAACAGAAAGCCATGATGAACTAGCAAACAAAACAAACTCACAGACCCAGACAACAGCATGAAGGTTACCAGAGGGGAAGGAAGAGGAGGGTAAAGGGGCCCGATATATGACCGAGGGAGCACACAGTGCAATATACAGACGATGCACACAACAGAATTGTGGGCTTGAAACGTAGTGTTAACCAATGTCACCCCAATAATTAAAAAGAGAGCAAAAACGTGTTCTTGGGTATGCAAAAATTCTTACTCTAGGAACTCCGATCGGGGCTGTGGCAGTTGTATCTAGATGAAGGTCACAGGGAGATGGGCGGGGCTTAGAAGACATCAAAACCAGTTTCTGGTCCAGTTGGAACGCATCATTTAAACCCTTAAACTTTGCCATTATGTGTACGACGATGATGTTCCGGGCAGTTACAAAAGCCTCAATGTTTGAATGATGCTTTACAAGTTCCAAAATTACTTAAAGAAAAATAATTCCTAGCCCAAAGCTAAGAGAAGGCCACCGAGAAGCGAAAAGAGATGCTAAAACAAGGACGAAGGGGCGTTATTACGCCCCTCTTACTTACCCTGGCCCGAGGAGGGCTGCGTTCTTCAGAGAGGGGCCTGCAAGTCAAGCAAGGCGCAGGTCAGCAAGGTCAAGGTGAAATCTGATTTGCCCTCTCCTCGGTCCCCCCGAGGCCCGATCACTAAGGCCATTCTCCCCTCTTTCCTGTCCGCCGAGACTCCACGCTCACCTTCCGAGAGGCTCTAATAAATCCCCATTCAGGCCCAAATCTTGCTGTGCCTTTCTTCGCCCCTTTTCCTTCCACCCCCTCCATGCATCCCCAGACGGGCTTCTTTACAGTCACTGCCAGGTCAGACCACGGTCTACACTTTTACCTGCTGCGGCGGCAGCGGAAAGTACCACTCGAGACAGCATAGTCAGCGAGGGCCCGCTCGGAGTTCGCGGCGTCCCAGTGACCTGGACCAGAGAATCTGTCAGGGGCAGGAGCAAGATGGTCGCTCGCAAGTATCGCGAGAAAAGGGAACTCTCGTTCCCTTCAATTTCCTGTCGAAATTTTTTTTCTCGCGATAAGAAGCACAAAGTGCGGTGAACCAGTTACCGAGGGCGGCAGCCGGGAAGCAAAACGGAACAGAGCAGTTCTCGCGAGATGTAGAGAGCTAGCCTGTCCAGAGGGGCGGAGGCCCAGAGAGATACCACGTGGGAACTATCCGGGCTGAATCTCCTGCGGACGTCTACTTTGGGTGTAGGTTGGCATTGAAACCGTGGACATGAGGAAGGAAACGCCGCCTCCAGTAGTGCCCCCGGCGGCCCGCGAGTGGAACCTCCCCCCCAATGCGCCCGCCTGTATGGAGCGGCAGTTGGAGGCTGCGCGGTACCGGTCGGGTGAGCCGAGAACGCGGGCCTGGGACTCCCTCACCCCGGCTTGGGAGGACCCTTCCCCAGACTGATCCTTCTAGTCCGTCCCCGCCCCGCCCCGCCTGCCACCCTGGTTCCTCCCTCGCTGAGGTCTGTCCCCAACTGTGTACCGTTTTCCTGAGCTCAAATCCAGGCCCGCGTGGTTTTCTGTGCGGTCGCCATAGAGACGAGCTCTTATGCGCCTCACGCGCTGACAGCTTGTATCTCCTTTAGATGGAGCGCTCCTGCTTGGGGCTTCAAGCCTGAGTGGTCGCTGCTGGGCTGGCTCCCTCTGGCTTTTCAAAGACCCTTGTGCCGCCCCCAATGAAGGCTTCTGCTCAGCTGGAGTCCAGACGGAGGCTGGAGTGGCTGACCTCACTTGGGTGGGGGACAAAGGCATCCTAGTGGCTTCCGATTCAGGTGAGTCACTTTCTCCTCAACCTCGCAGGTGGAATGGAGGCCAAGGGGTAAAGGTCTGGCTAGGTTCAATCCTTCATGCCCCCAACTGAGTTCTTGGGCTAGCTTGAGGGTGTAGATCCCTAAGGAGAACTCCTGTGTAGGTAGAAATGCCTTTTCCGAGATTCTAAATGCAAATTTAGAATCTGATAGAAATGTCTAGGAAAATCCATAACAAAATTAAGAAATGAGTTGCATTCATTTCTTCTTCTTCTGTGTAACATGTCCCGTATCCCCCCAGTCCAGACCAAACCAATCTGTGCTGTGTCTTCCCATTTTTTTCTTCATAAATGTTTTTACTCTGCTTTCTTTGTTTTGAATGTCAGAGTCAGCAGTGGAGACTTTGCTGTTTAAAGAAAAACCCAGAATTTGGGTGTTGGCAGGCTTCACTGAGAAGGGTAGATGTGGACGTTCAAAATTGATCCTCTCTGACAGCGTTAACACTTCATGCATTCAAGGCAACTTCTGGGGTGTTTCCAGTGTTTAGCCAGTCACTGTGCAAGACACTGAGTTATTCCATGTGTTTTTTTAAGACTCTGTGAGATGTGTATTGAAATTGTTCAGCAGATATTTATCATAATTGGGAAGCTTTAACCACACTGGACCGTGTCCTACAGCGACAGTTGTGGAGATGTGGAGATGTTGTCCTTTTCTCCCGGGGACTTATTTTCCAGTGTTTTCTCATTGGAAATGGGGTAATGGATTTTACCAGCTGTTCCATCTTTTTCTAGAAGCCTTCCCTACTTAATTGTCTGGACTGTTAACAGGAAAAGAGTAATGCCAGCATAGAGGCTAACCCTTCCAGCGATATGGACTTGGCTGTTATAGAAATAACTTACTTTGTTAGTTTAGTGACGATGGGCTCCTAGGAGTGAGTTGCTGTTTTGGTGGAATTCAGCTTGTTTCCCTCCCCCGCATCCTCTCCCTGACAGGTGCTGTCGAACTGTGGGAGCTGGATGAGAACGAGACACTCATTGTCAGCAAGTTCTGCAAGTATGAGCACGACGACATCGTGTGCAGCGTCAGTGTTCTGCACTCCGGCACGCAAGCTGTCAGTGGGAGCCAGGACTTCTGGTGGGTCCTCGTCCTCAGCACTCCTGTCGCTGGGCCTCCTGCGGGTGTCTTCACCATTCCATTAGCCTTATTATATAAAACCTTGGCCTCATCACAAGAACCCAGTGACTGATACGGCATGTCTGTAAGGTTTCCCCCGAGGGCTTGCAATCCACTGAAGTATCTGTTTCCCTTTGCTTCTTAGCATCAAGGTTTGGGACCTGCCTCAGCAGATGGTGCTGAACTCGTACCGGGGTGAGTGCCCTCTCTTCCTCCCCAGTCCTGGCCTTATCTGTGTTGTTCTTCTTTTCCCCATTGGGCTCCTTGGACTTTGCCTGGGCATCAGTCAGGGGCATCGGGGCCTTGCTCTCCTGCCTGATGGTTCTCTTCCACAGGCGTCCATCCCTTGCCCTTTCCCTTAATTCCCTACCTCTGTCGATGGCCTCACTACCTTCTTGGCCACCAAGGCTCTCACTCGCAGTCACCTTCCACGCCCTCTGCTTCCCGCTCTCAGTTGGTCACCACGTTCCTGTGCGCCTGTTTCCATTTGTCCAGTGACCTTCCCTTCCACTCCTCACGCTCCCATTTGCTTCCAGGTGTTAACCTCACACGGACGGACGGTGGCACTCATCATCTCTGCACGCGTCCCCTCTGCTGTGCCATTGGTTTCTTGTGGCCTGCAGATGAAAGTCCCACTGTCCTGTCATGGCCTTCGAGCCCTTGTACTATCACCGCCCCTTCAGGCGTTGCACAGTAGCTAGACCTGGGCCCAGCAGGCCTTCTCGGCCTTCTCCTAGTATGAGCCCTGAGGCTTAGGAATCGGTCATCTTTCTCAAGAGTCCCATTGTTAGACAGATGGAGATAAGTCGCAGAACCACACTTGTGTGTGGGGTGTGGGCGGAACAAGGCGGCCCAGAGGCTCTTTCCTTTGCTCTGTGGCTCTGGGGGGGCAAGCAAGCCCCTTTCGTGTTGCATGTTTGCTGTTCATACTCCTGCTCTGGGACAGGTGACAGCTGTGCGTTCCTCTGTGACATGGGAGAAGGGTGTCTGGAGGGAGAGGTGGGAAAGGAGCACTGAGAGACTGCAGGCAGCTACTCATTCACTTTTAGGAAAGAGAACATTCAAGAAAGTGATGCCCTTAAACCTCTCGGTGCCCAGAACGCCACTGAGGCGTGTGTCCTGCAGTGTGGAACTTACTAATCCACAGTAGGGTGCTAACTACGAATTCTCTCCCTATTCTTATTCAGCCCCTAATTTCTCTTTCATTATCTTTGCTAATTGGGTTTTTTCCCCAAGCCTTTTTAGGTTTTATAACTCCATCACCATTTCCTCTTAGGTTTGGTCTAATTCAGTATCTCATGAAACGTATTAAATGACATCCAGAGACGAGGCCTGCCTCTCACACCCTCCCTCCACCCCCTCGGTAGGATCTGGGCTATTTGGTAGCCCCCTCCCCCAGCTTCTCCATCAGATTTCCCTCCTCTCCCCTCTGCAGCTCACTCGGGGCAGGTCACCTGTGTCGCCGCCTCTCCCCACCAGGACTCCGTGTTTCTTTCGTGCAGCGAGGTGAGATACAGCCTCCACTTCCCTCCCTGCTCCCTAACCACTCTCCAGGCCTCTAGGCCAAAATCCAGTGTGGAGATGCCCTGACCTGCAGCTGCTTCTTTGGATCTAAAGCCCCCTTTCTGCTTCTCTGCTTCCAGGACAGTAGGATTTTGCTCTGGGATACCCGCTGTCCCAAGCCAGCATCACAGATGGGTAAGTCTGAGAGCTGGCTGTGGGCGGGTGGTACTGCGAACCCACCCGGAAGAGGCTTGCCTTAGCCTCCTGGGGTCATAGAAAACCTGCCTAATGCCCCACTGCTGTGGCCTAAGTTACATGATCGATTTCTTTGCCTCTGAGGCTCTGCTGACCCCGTTCTGTGCAGTGGGCACCACGGGGAAGGGCTGGGGCCTGGGTGGGCGACTTAATTTCCCTTTCCTGGGAGGGTCAGCAGAGGGCCCAGAGTTGATCTCTTCATGCTGTATGCTCGAAACCTGCCTGTGACTTGTGTCCAGAGAGGGCCGGAGGCTGATGGCTCAGCGAGGTTGTGAGGGCCAAGCAGGAGGGTACAGCTGCCTCTGTGGGCCGAGAACCGAATGCAGCGCTCCTGGGACTTAGTGGGGCTTCCTCCGCGAGGCGTCTTCTCAGAGCTGGGCTCGAGTCTTGCCCCGACCCCTCTTCTGTCCTCTGCAGCCTGCAGCGCCTCTGGCCACCTTCCTACCTCCCTGGCTTGGCATCCTCGGCAGAGCGAAGTCTTCGTCTTTGGTGAGGGTGACGGAGGAACTGCGCCTAGGGTCTGGGAAGGGGAGGGAAGCAAGAGGCAGAGCCAGCCACACACACACACACACACACACACACGCACACACGCACGAACACACGCACGCACGTGCTCCAGGGCTCCGTCCTCAGCACCCCAGGCACCGGGTGGTTATGCTAATGGAGGGCTGGGAGGGGCTTCGACCCAAAGGCGGTTTTAGTTTAGCTTTGGAGAACACGGGTGATTTTTTTCCCCAGGGGATGTGAGTCCCGGTTGTTGGTTCTGGTTCTTGTATCCTGGGCGTGGCTAGAAGCCAGTGGGCCTCAGAGCACATGGGTTACTCGCTGTAAATGAGTAATGTCATTTCAGTCCACATCATTTCGTTACAACGTTGATAGGACGTAACTCTTGTATCATTTTGCCTGCAGGCCAATCGGTTTCCTTGTATGTTGTTGCACTTAGACTCACAGAACCAGTGGCCCGCATTAGTGAGGATTTATACCATGTACAGGGTTCACTGTCCTGTGGGTAGTTGTAGTGCTGCCCTGGTGATACGGTTTGTGGTTGAAATAATAACTTCATCATCCATTGATTTAATTCCCACAACTGCCAGCGACTGCTCATCCCACTTAACTGGAGAGGGAACCGGTCTTCATCAGGCTGACTCGTCTAGCCTCAGGGGACGGCATTCGGATCCAGCTGCCCGCAGGGCCCCGGCTGCCCCCGCTGAGACGCACCTGTCTTTTCTGTAGGTGATGAGAACGGCACTGTCTCCCTCGTGGACACCAAGAGTGCGGGCTGTGCCCTCAGCTC